TTGATAGGATATTCCTTAGAAACTGTTGGAAGACTAGACTGGTGATTTGTTAGAAAAGTTCCTAAAGTTTAAAATAGAGAGGTTAGAGTTTAGCTTGGATATGATAGGCTGCAAAATCGCTCACAACATTTCCATGTCCTAATCACCAGAATCTCTGAATGTTTTTATCAAAATTTAGTGGCTTATCATCAAAGAAATTTATTCTCTTACAATCTGGGATGCCGGAAGTCTAAACAGTCTTAAGTTAGGGACAAAGTAGAAGTGTTAGCAGGGCTGGCTCCCCTGGAGGCTGTAGGAGAGAATCTGCTCATGGCTCTTTCCCTTCTAGAGACTGTAGGAAAAAAGGATTTGCAGGTTTGTTTAAATTAAGGATTTTCCTATGGAGAGATTTTGTTATCTGGGTGGGCCCTAAATATGTCACAGTGTTCATGTCACAGGGAAGTGGGGGAAGTTTGACTTCGGTAGAAGAGACGACATCATGGCCCTAAGGAGTGTAATGATGCAGCCAGGAACCAAAGCATGCTGGAGCCTCCAAGGGAGCCAGCCCTGCTGCTAACACTTCCACTTTGTCCCTAACTTAAGACTCTATTTAGACTTCTGGCATCCCAGATTGTGAGAGAATCAATTTCTTTGATTACAAGCCACTACATTTTGATGAAAACGAATACATTGTGTGTACCTGTTAACAAAACATGTTAGGACTTTGGGGTTCAACTACATACCCCCAGAACTTAGAACAGTGTCTTACATAATAAGGTAGGCTCTCAGTGTTTCTATAGAAGGAAAGAGGAAGGAAACAAAAAAAGAAAGAATCAGGGAGCTCATAAATAACATTTGGAGCATGATATACACACTTGGTTTCTGAATGAAGCAGAGAAAAACAGTGAGGCTGAAAACTTGCTGCTGCCCCATCACCAAGTACATTTTTTGTTTGTTTTAAGATTTATTTATTAGTTGAAAGGCAAAGTTTACAGAGAGAAAGAGCTTCCATCTTCTGGTTTACTCCCCAAGTGGACCACTGGGCTGATTCAAAACCAGGACTTGACAAGTCAGCTTCTATGACCCAGATTCCTAACTGAAGTTTAAAAAGTACATGCCTTGTACTATTGTTAATATAATAGAAGTGGTGACAACGTAGTTAGTGTATGTAATGTGCTCAAAACAATGCCTAGCACTTAGGGAGTGGTCAGTGAATGTATGTTTCCATTGTCCTCAGTACAGTCAGCAGTGGAAATCATGCCAGTTCAGTTGTGAAACTGCTGTCCCTGCTGCTCCTGCTGGGCCCTGAGCCCCTCCTCTCTTGCATGGGCTACTGGGAGGGCCTCCTATACTTTGAACTCTTGCATTTAAAGTCCATTTGCAGGGCCAGTGCCATGGCTCAGTTGGCTAATCCTCCGCCTGCGGCGCCGGCATCCCATGGTGGGCACCGGGTTCTAGTCCCAGTTGCTCCTTTTCCAGTCCAGCTCTCTGCTGTGGTCCGGGAATGCGGTGGAGGATGGCCCAAGTGCTTGGGCCCCTGCACCCGTGTGGGAGACTGGGGGTGGGGGGGAGGCTCCTGGCTCCTGGCTCCTGGCTCCTGGCTTCTGGCTTCTGGCTTCTGGCTTCTGATCGGCGCAGCGGTGGTGGCCATTTCGGGGGTAAACCAGCAGAGGGAAGACCTTTCTCTCTGTCTCTCTCTCTCATTGTCTAACTCTGTCAAATTAAAAAAAAAAAATCCATTTGCCATACTAGCCAGGAAAATTTCTTTTAAAAAATACATCAAAATTATGTCACGACTTAAAAACTCTCAGGATGCTTCTCAAGTGCAATAAAATCCAGACACCTTGCTGTGGCCTCCAAGGCTTTTTGTGGTTTGTCCTCTACCTGCCTCTTAGTGCCACTTCCTGTTGCTTATGGGCCATCTTCCACTCTGGCCTTCTGGTCCCTAGAACTTGCCAGCCCTCACCCCTTTTAGGGTCTTTGCACCTCTTCCCTATGTCAAATGTCGTGCCCTCAGAGGCGTCTAGTTCCTTCCTAACATTCAGGTCTCAGCTCAGATGTTGACTCTTCGGAGTGAGCATTTGGTGTAGTGGTTAACGTGCTGCTTGGGTTGCCCAAATCCCATGTCAGGATGTCTGGGATTGAGTCTTGACTCCATTTGCAATTCCAGTTTTCTGCTAATGCCCACCCTGGGAGGCAGCAGTGATGACCCAAGTAATTGGATCGCTACAACTCATGTGGGAGGTCCTGATTGAATTCTGGGCTTTTGTCTTCAGCCTGGCTCAGCTTCAGCTGTTACAGGCATTTGGAGAGAGAACCAGGGGGTGGGAGATGTCTGTCTATGTCTAGATATCTGCCTTTCAAATAAATAGAATTTTTTGACATGATACTACTTCAGAGGTGTCATCCTTGACCATCTGGTGAAAGTGGTCCTGCTCCCCCTCTTAATCCCATTTCTCCCTTATTTTTTTTTATTGCACTTGGTACTACTGGATTTTTTTTTCTTATTTTTATATCTGTTTGTCTTTTCGTCCCAAGGAAGCAGGGACTTTGGCATATTTAACATTAAAAGTAACCAGATCAGGGCTTGGGAGTTGAGTTTACAGTGGCAAATTTGTTAAATGGCACTGAGCAGTATTTCCTGGGTGGGAACTTGATTTCCCAGGTAGCCTTTTAAGTGTGGAATGTGCAGCGCATGGTGGTTAGGAAGTTTCTGTACCTTAGAAAAATGTCTTTGGGAATGTCTGCTTTTCTGTTTCTGAGTCATAGACTGTATTTTAATTTGTTCTGAAAGGAAAAGTGTTTTAACCAGGTTGTTGTAACTGTTAAATATTTTGCCTTAAGACACATGTACACCTTTTAGAATATTAATTGCTATGGTAACAACTGGAGCTTATGTGGTTCTTTTTGTTAAAAATTAAATAGTAGTTACGTAGCTGTGAAGTAATACCAGTAAACAAAGACCCTAATAGTGAGAAATGTTATTTCATGATTTATTTAGGATCACCAGCAACAACGCACTCCACAGAGTGGCTTAGACTTGGCATCCTTTAGACTTTTAATTTGTTATCCATAGACTATGATAATTTTCGGTGTTTGGGCAGTGGTAGGCAGTCAGAATCTACTGATCATGTGCTTGGTACTCAAAAGAGGAGCTAAATGGAGAGTGAAAACAGTCTCAAAGGACTTATAGTGATATATTAAATGGATAGTGGGATCGGCAGGATTTTTTGCTTACTGCTTTTCTGTATTGGGCAAATACACATGTGGAGTCTGAAGTAGTACCTACCTCCAAGACCCATAGCAAACTGCTTTCCCCTACTTGAGATTGACTGTAGCAAGAATAGCTACTTCACATTAATTTTTTCTGACACACTTCCAAGGTTTAGTCAGGCTGCAAATATTTGTTTATTCATTCACTAAGCACACGTACACTAAACGGCTGATTATGCCTAGCAGTGATAGTCATGTTGAGGATAAGATAACCGTGTGTACATGGCCTCTGCACCCAGGTTGCTCTTGGGATTCTAGAGAAGATCCATATTAAACAAGTACATGCTGAGGCGATTTTAAATTGTTTTAAGGGTTATTTAGGGAAGGTATCAGATGCTGAAAGCACAGGGCAGGGGAGAACCTCATTTATGTTGTTACCCCCCAAATTAAGGGGAATTAGCCAGATAGAATAAGAATATGCCCAGCACAGGGAACTATATAACAAAGGCCAAGAGGCATAGCAGAATGATTAAAGACCACAGAGAGACCAGTTTGGGCCCCATGCAGCCAAGCGGAGAGAGGTGCTTCCAAGACAGGTGAGGAGGTGTGAACTGCGAGACCAAAACAGGCCAAAGATACCCAGGAGGAAAGGGGCAACCCACCTGGTCTTTTTTTTTTTTTTTTTTTTGACAGGCAGAGTAGACAGAGACAGAGAGAAAGGTCTTCCTTTGCCGTTGGTTCACCCTCCAATGGCCACCGCGGCCGGCACGCTACAGCCGGCGCATCGCGCTGATCTGAAGCCAGGAGCCAGGTGCTTCTCCTGGTCTCCCATGCGGGTGTAGGGGCCCAAAGACTTGGGCCACCCTCCACTGCACTCCCTGGCCATAGCAGAGAGCTGGCCTGGAAGAGGGGCAACCGGGACAGAATCCGGCGCCCCGACCGGGACTAGAACCCGGTGTGCCTGTGCCGCAAGGCGGAGGATTAGCCTGGTGAGCTGCGGCGCCGGCCCCACCTGGTCTTCTAATGACAGTTTCTGCTCACACCCCACACACAATCAGCGGTTGCTGTGACCCCACAGATTTTTTTTTCCCAAGGCCTAGCACCTTAGCCAGAAGCAACTGCCAGTCATTACTACAAGCCCTGTACAACCCTGATCTTTTCCATGCTGAACACGTAAGTGTATTAAACAAAGGCGTATTCTGAGGAAAGGGTACAGTAGACTCAGTATTTGGGTTAGAGTGACCATCCACCTCAAGAAACACTGATTTCCAGTAAGAAGGTAGTTGGGGTAAACAGTGTTGAATCCTGTTTATAATTCTATTACCAAGTTGCTGGGATAAGATTTCTTCTTTTATTAGAAGACAGTAAATGGTAAGTAAGCCTTTTAATGAAATCTTTAACCACAGCATAGCAGTCTTGTTTTAATCAGCTGTTCTAACTGAATTTGGCAGGGGCAGCTCTTGGAGTATTGTGACCCATCAGCCTGTTTTCATAATCTGTGTGAATATATTCCAGTGCAGCTGATACCCCATTGTAGTCAGCCTGTGGTTGCCCTGAGAAATTTTCCTTTTTCGTCACAGCTCATTACTGAAAACCAACTGTTACAAGAGAATTGCTCTTGAGTCCTATGCTTGTTTTATTGCTATGGTATTTTCTGATAAGTGGTTCTTTCCCAAAGTGAGCATACTTCATTTGCCATCTGCTTAAAATCACTGCAGAATGAAACCTGATATCTTGAACCCTAAGGACATCATTTGTCTTTTCTAGAAGAATGTTCTAAGTGTAATTTCTTCTTTCATCCTCCTTAGATTCTTCTTAGTCCTTTGGTGGAAACTCTGCAACACAAGATGGCTGCAAATAAGCCCAAGGGTCAGAATTCTTTGGCCTTACACAAAGTCATCATGGTGGGGAGTGGTGGCGTGGGCAAGTCTGCTCTGACTCTGCAGTTCATGTATGATGAGGTAAGTGCTTGTCTCCTAATGGATATCAAAATTTGGACTTATCAGTATTTTTCTAGCTTAATTTTGGTACTATTTTGGATGGATTCCTTGAGTCCTTGAAAACTACTAATGTTTTCCATTTTTAAATTCAGAGCCAACATCTGTATATAACTTTATTTAACAAATCAAGAACTCAAGACCCTTGAAAACCTATGCTTTTAAAACAAAACTGAAAACAGTGTCTAGTTTTTGAGTGATCTAACTTGAGCTTTTAAAATTTTTTTTGTTTGAATATTCTCACCTTGAATTTCTAGAATAGGTGCATATAGTATCTAATTGAAACTTGAGATTAACATATATAAAGCATTCTTTAATGATCTAAATGAAAATTTCAGTTATTGTGTATTTGGCGTGGCTCTGTATTCACCATTAAATAAGTAATAGTTGTGTTGCTAAAACTTTTAATTTGTAGATTACAGGTTTGTGTGCAAGTCTTTGATCAGACTTGTTAAAGTCTCAGCCTGTATTTGTATATATTGTGTGTGAATGTATATATATTTATATACATACACACACACACATATACATATAGGATATATATACTATATCCTGTATATAGCAATGTATTTTTCCCTAGAGGACTGTTAACAAGGCTTAATGATTTAGGTATTGGTAATATAATGTACACATTTATCCTTAATTCTTCCTCCTCCCAGTAGAAGGCCAGACTTTGTGGTTATAGAGCACTCCTTTATTCCTCATAACACTCCTGCATGGTCTTACCACTTTACAGATGAGAAAGCAGAACCTCAGAGAGATTGCCTATCTTGGCCTAAAAATGATCTCCAATGCCAAACCTGTCTTCTGACAAAAATAATCCTGCAGATTTTCCCCACTACATATCTTTTTATTGCCTGCACATCAGCATTTCTTTCACACATACTCAAAATCCTTTAAGTCATTCAGTTGTCCTGCTTGTTGGTGACTGACAAAAGGTTTGGTCAGTGAGGGAATTTAACTTAGCCCCTGTCTTTGTAGATGAAGAAGCCATTAAAATTGCCTAAAATGAAAAGCAATGTTTTTTATTAATTTTTAATTTTCATTTCTATGTGCGCTTTTTAAATTATATCTTTTTTTAAGATTTATTTATTTATTTATTTGCATGCATTTCGTAAATACAACTTTAGGAACATAGTAATTCTTCCCACCATACCCGCCTTCCCAGTAATGTCACATTAACCACTGGGGAAACTGGGTAAAGTGTAAATGGGACCTCTTTGTGCTATTTGGTCAGCTTATAAATCCAATTATTTCAAAATAAGGAGTTTGAGGAAGTAAAAAGGAGTTGAAAATGGATGTGTTTTTCCTCTTTTGTAGTTTGTGGAGGACTATGAGCCCACCAAAGCAGACAGCTATCGCAAGAAAGTAGTGCTGGATGGGGAGGAAGTACAGATCGACATCTTAGATACAGCGGGGCAGGAGGACTATGCTGCCATCCGAGACAACTACTTCCGGAGCGGGGAGGGTTTCCTCTGTGTCTTCTCTATTACGGAAATGGAATCCTTTGCAGCCACAGCCGACTTCAGGTGTGTTTAAGAATTAGGTTGCTGCTGTGACATACTGCACAAGATTCTTCCCCAGAACAAGTGGACACCTAGGGTTTCTCGCTGGTTGGTCTTTTACTCAGTCTCTTAATTGTGTTTACTACTTCACTGATGCAGCGTATGTCTCTCACCACCATGTATATACACACAGATGTTTAGGGTAGTTTGCATAATCTTACAGCCATTCCAGGGCCGGCTGTGTTAGAGCCTGAGTCTGTGACAGCCTCAAGGACCCACCCAAAGCCCTTTTACTTGTTAGTGAAATATTTCTTTTTAGAGCAAAATACTACTATTGCCTTCATAGTTAATACTTGGATCACATAATGGAGCTGACCCTGATTTTAATCTTTCTGTGTTAGTCATAGTTTTCAACACCCCTGTGATGCTCAGCAGGCACACTGCCTGACAGCACTGCATTTTTAAAATGTTGTAGACTGGTACACTAGGTTGTGTTACACAGGATATCTTGTTTATTGTTTACTAAATCATAATCTGGCATCCAATTTGGAGGGGGTTATGGTTTTGGGGAAGGAAGTTTGCTCTATATCTAAGAGAAATGTAGTGCAAATAAAGTTCTTGAGTGATCTTGCAGATACTACATGCATAGTCAGCTGAACATGATCTTTACTTACAGACTTTTATTTCCGTGTTGAGTGTCTGCTTTGGTTATTGAGGGCACAAAAGAAGCATGGCATATAGTCTCAGTTTTCAAAATTGCCACAACCTTGTCAAATATGTAAGGCATGTGTTCAAGAGCAAGTTAGTGACAAAGTCAAAAAACACGGGCAATGATCATGACAGAGGATCCAGGAACGGAAAGGAGCTAGGAGATCTTTATGAACAGATGAGCCTGAGGAAAAGGGTTTCCCAGATGAGGAAAGAAGGCATTTCAAGTGGTTGAGCAAAAAACTAGGGCTTATATAGAACATTCCTTTTTTGTACTCTTGAAAGTCCTTAAGAGCTCCAAAGATTCTAAGAGAACAAACATTCTTTGCAAAAAGGCATGTCATGGAGCCGGTGCTGTGGCATAACAGGTAAGGCTGCCACCTGCAACTCCAGCAGCCCATATGGGTACCAGTTCAAGTCCCAGCTGCTCCACTTTCTATCCAGCTCCCTGCTGATGTGCCTGGGAAAAGCAGTGGAAGATAGCCATAGTGCTCGGTCCTTTGCACCCACATGGGAGACCCAGATCAAGTTCCTGGCTCCTGGCTTTAGCCTGGCCCAACCTCAGCCATTGTGGCCATCTGGGGAGTAAACCAGTGAATGAAAGATTTCTCTCTCTGTGTCTCTCCCGCTCTCTGTAACTCTGACTTTCAAATAAATAATAAATTTTTTAAGAAAATTAAAAAAAATTTCTTTTGTCAATGAGAAACTTTAAAATATAGATTGATTCATGAATTAAGGCTGCTGGTTTCTATAAGGAAGGACTTCCATATGTGATAAAGTGCAAAGGGTGGCAGTTCCTAGTAACTTGGAATCCTGGGAGATGTATTGGAAGTTACATAAATGCCATTACCTTATTATTCATTCAACAAATACATGACTGCTTAGCAGGCCAGTCCTAGGTAATGGAATAAATTTTGTCACCATAGTTACCAAAGCCAAAGTGATATCTCAAGGGAATGAGGTATTTTTACACCAAAAGAGAGACTTAGGCTATTGCTGTTAGAGAAAGTAAGGATGATTCATTACTATTCTGGTGTACCTCCAATGAGTTGCCCTTCCCATAAATAAAAATAGCCCTAGTGACTCATCAGGATTTTTGAGAAGGTCTGAATGGTTACAGTAGACACTCCACATGGATACCCACAAGGATAACATTAACGCCAGCCTCCCCCACCCCCCAGCCTTTAGCCTTCCTGGGTCTCTCTGTCACCAGGACAGAATCCATTGCTTCCTCATCTGTATAAGTGATGTACTTAACAGCAGTTTCAGTATCACACTTAACACTCAAGCTTGATCTTCAGGTGTTTTTCCTGATAAGGTGAAAAATTTCATTTATAACTCATTTTAGAATTGTTAGTACTCATATTTGGCACAGTTGCTAGCATTTAACATTTAATTGCAAATAATGTTTAGTAAACATCTAATTCAATTTGAAAACTCTTAGCTTTTTGATACTTACTTTCCTTATGTCAAAAATGAAGATTATAAAGGGACTTTCCTATTCTAAAATTGTATAATAGCCTCTCAGTGTATTTAAAGGGAATATAACATAAAGCAAAATGTGTATGCAGATAATAGACATGGAATTATCTTTCTCTATATCCAGGAAAGTAGCTAATAAAACCAACCTATTAAGTCTAAAGCTCTTCTCACCTCTTGACTTGGTAAGTCCAGGTTTTCCAAGGCCATGTTTCTGATAGCATCAGTCACACTGTAATTTCAATGTTGCTTTTCCTACAATGCCTGACTCGGTAGCTTAGTAGGTACTTATTAAGAAATTAATTAATAAATAGTATGTAACCAGAAGTGCTAGAGTCACAAACATTTGAGTCAGTCTGTCCTTCCTGGTAGTTAGTGAGGTTGGGTGGTAAGTCAGTTGTCCTTAACATCTTAGTTCAGGCTGTTGGTTGTGAAGGAAACTTGTTAAGAAAGTCATAACAGGGCCCAGCGTTGCAGCATAGCAGGTAGAGCTGCCTGCCACCTACCACACCAGCATTCCATATGGGTGCCACTTTGAGCCCTAGCTGCTCTACTTCCGATCCACCTCCCTGCTAATGGCCTGGGAAAATGGCAGCAGAAGATGGCCCAAGTGCTTGAGCCCCTGCCACCCACATGGGAGACCCAGAAATTCCTGGCTCTGGCTTTGGTAGGGCCCAGCCCTGTCTGTTGTGACCACCTGGGGAATGAACCACCAAATGGAAGTTCTCTGTCTCTCCCTCTGCTCTGTAGCTCTTTCAAATAAACAGATCTAAAAAAAAAAAAAAAAAAAAAAAGCCACAGCAAATTTGTTGTTACTAGAAAAAAAGATTATGATTGGCCAAAATCCTCTCTACAAATACATCATAAATTATAGTTACCTGGCAGGGGAGACACCATGATCACAAATATATCATAAATTAAATAGCAACAGTGGTTAAGTGTTGACAGCCTTTTTGCAAGAAATCATTGAGTGGTAGAAAACAATATAACATTGTGTTTTGATCAGTTTAGTGTGTAATACCTAGATTTCATGCTTTTTAACTCTTTTACTTTCTAAAAGGATGGTTAACTACAAACCAGCCAAGGATAGAGAGAACTTTCTGTGTGGTTCATAGTCCATTCATGTTAGAAGAATTCAGAACTCAGGCCCAGAGAACTTCCTTTCAGGCATTCATTCTGTTAGAATATTTGCTATTAAATTAAAAACCAGGAGACTGAAGTAATAGTAATATTATTACCTAGTCTCATACAGCACTTAACCATGTGCCAAACACTATTTGAAGAATTTAACACAAATTCATGTATCAAGTAACCACATGAGGTAGACATTACTGTGTTTCATAGACTCTAAGATGTACAGATTTTACACTTTAAAACAATTTTTATTTAAAAGGCAGAGAGAGAGTGATATCCCATTTACTAGTTCACCCTCCAATACCCACAACAGCTAGGGCTTGGCCTTTCTGAATCTAAGAGCTGGAAACTCAGTCCAGGTCTTCTGTGTGGGTGGCAGGGACCCAGCTACTTGAGTCATCACCTGCTGGCTCTCAGTGTGTTGATATGAAACTGGAATCAGGTGAAGCTGGGACATGAACTTGGGATGCAAACCCAGGCACTCCAATATGAGGTCCAGATATCCTAGTGGCATCTTAACCACAGCACCAAATGCCCACTCTTGTATTTTACATTTTACCATCTCTCAAAATCAGGGCTCTAACTTACTGGTATGGCATCTTATAGTTAATAACTGGAAGCAGTTTTTCTTGATATTGCACTCAAAATGCTTACAATTTTTGATTTTTTGAAGTTGGATGTTTTTTTAAAAAGTATACCTACATTTATAAATCCTAAAACACAGGAGGATTGATTTACCCCAGACTGTGCAGTTAGGAATGGCAGAGTTAAAATCCAGGAGATCTACCACTGAGTTCTTGCATTTAATAGTGATATTGCACTGGTTGTCATATTGTTAAACTAATGGTGATTGTTTTATGAAACCACATGAACACCACATCCTATTTTTTTTTAAAGATTTATTTATTTATTTGAAAAGCAGAGTTAGAGAAAGAAGGAAAGAACCAGGAGAAGCACCTGGCTCCTGGCTTCGGATCAGTGCAGCACACCGGCCGCAGCGGCCATTGGGAGGTGAACCAACGGAAAAGGAAGACCTTTCTCTCTCTCACTGTCCACTCTGCCTGTCAAAAAAAAAAAAAAAAAAGAGAGAGAGAGAGAGAGAAAGAAGGCAAGAGAAACCTTCCATCCACCGGTTCACTCCCCAAATGGCCACAATGGCCAGGGCTGGGCCAAGCCAAAGTCAGGAGCCAGGAACTCCATCTGGATCTGCCATGTGGGTGGCAGGTACCCAAGCACTTGAGCCATCTTCTGCTTTCCCAGGCAGGACACAAGTGGCATCTTCTGGATCAGAAGTAGAGCAGCCAGGACACAAATCACCATCCATAGGAGATGGCAGCAGCTTAACCTGCTCTACTACAAAGCTGGTCCCCACAGCCCGTCTTTTTAAAATGGATATGTCAGAGCCAGCATTGTGGCTTAGTGGGCTAAGCTGACCCTGCAATGCCAGCATCCCATATGGGCTCTGGTTTGAGTCCTGGTTGCTCCACTTCTGCTCCTGCTAATGTGCTTGGGAAAACAGCAGAAGATGGCCTAAGTGCTTGGGCCCCTGCCTCCCACATGGGAGACCCCGAAAACCTCCTGGTTCCTGGCTTCAGCCTGGCTCAGTCCTGGCCATTGTGGGCATTTCAGGAGTGAACCAGCAAATGAAACATGGCTCTTCTCTGTAATTCTGCCTTTCAAATAAATAAATCTTTAAGGAAATAAATGTATTATGTTATGTTATCTATTTCACAAATAGGTAACTTTTTTAAAAAAATGACTAATCATTTTTATTTAGGGTGTTTAAAAAAATCCTGATTATTCTATGCCAAGGTATTTAATGCCACACATTATTTTGTTAGTATCAGTTCTACCCCTCAATTGAAATAACTGATTTAAAACATTTTTTCAGAAAGATAAAACTGACTTTATACGATCAATACTTTACTGTTTAAATCCCTCTCACATACAATAAAGACATTCCCCTCAACCAGTTTGTTACTTTGCCGTGAAGGACAAGTGTTGTAGAACATCAGGAGACTCACCATAAAGCCAGGCACCTTGGTGTTAGTTCCATATCAGAGTTAGGCAGCTCTCCTGATGCACAGTTGTTGGAATAAACCCCCTCAGCCAGAATTTGTTCCTTTAGGTATCTGGTTATGGGGCGCTCCTTTGGTGTCCAGTGCAGAAGTTGAATGTGTACTCTCAAATTAGATTTCTGAGATTCAGTTTCTGGCTTGTGACTCTGAGCAGTTTCCTCATCTGTGAAAGAAGAATAGTAATACGTAGTAGTAGTAGTAGTAGTAGTAGTAGTAGTAGTCGTAATTAGTAGTAGTAATACTAACTTCATAGGTTTTGGGTGAGGAGTAAATGAGTTAATGTATATAAAGCACTTAGTATTGCTTGGCACATGGTGAACAGTCGGTAAAATGTTACTGATAGTGGAGGAGGGGTAGTGGTATTCAGAAAATAATCAGTGGTATTCACTGATTATTTGTGTTTAGAAACACAAAATAACCTGAAAATAAGCTGTAATGAAGATGTTACTCAGTCCCTCAAACATCGCTATGAAATTCTTGCAAAAGTCAAATGTAATAATCCCTGTAGTTTTCTTATTTTCTTAGCCTAAAATACTTAGTTTTCCATAGTTTCAACATCTCAGTATTTCAAGAGAGGCCTCTGTCAGATAACGAGAGTGAGAAGGTAACAAGAGAGTAAGTCTTGTCTTCCATATTTCCTTTTCTCTGTTGATTTTTGTAAGAAAACATCTTGCTCCAGTAGATAATTGCAAGCACAGCTGACATTTATTGAATATTCTCAATATGCCATGCACAGTTACAAGTACTTTGCATTTAATCCTCATGGCAGCTGTCTAACCAAAGGGCTATTGTTAGCCACATTTTATAGCTGAGGAAACTGAGGCAAAGAAGTACTTTGCTCAGAGTCACATGACAAGGAAGAGCCGAGTCATGCTACTTTAAAATCGGTGCCTTTCACAGTGCACAACTTATCTCCCAGTAAAGAAAATTTGTGCTTTAGAGATGCCTTGCAATGGTTTCTTGTATGTGAGAGGCTTTTTGGCATTCCACCTCTGATCTGCCCTAAGCTCAGATCCCCAGTTTAATGATGAGAAAAACATCAGATAAGTATAACTTGATAGGCATTCTACAGATTACCTGACTGGCACTCCTCAAAACTGTCACAGTCATCCAAAAGAAAGAGAATGTCATGCGGGGTCCTGGGTGGGATCCTGGACAGAAAAAGGATGCTGGGGAATAAGCACAAATGTCTGGCTGAAGTTTGGATTTTATTTCCCTTAATATGTCCATGTTGGTTCATTAATTGTGATATGTGTCCCACACTAACTTAAGGTGGTAACAGTAAGAGAAACCAGAGATAGGATATATGGAAACTGTACTGTCTTCACAGCTTTTCTCTATAACTAAAGTCTTCCTAAAATAAAAATTTAGTTTAAAAAAAGGACTTTACATTTTGAATTTGGGCTTGTATTGCCAAGTTGATGTCCTCCTGTTTGGTGTGTTTTTCCTTTACTAGTGAACTGAATATGTAGTTCAGATGATTGTTGGTAGGTGGGGCAGCACTTGGCACAGCAGATTAAGTCATGGCCTCTGATGCCAGGTTCCCCTATCAGAGCCCCAGGGAAAGTAGAGAATGACAGCCCAAGTATTTGGCCCTCTAGCACCCACGTAGGAGACCCAGAAAAAGCTCCAGGCTCCTGGATTCAGCCTGGCACAGCCCTGGCCATTGTGGCCATTTAGGGAGTAAACCAGCAGAGAAAAGATCCCTCTCTCTCTCCTCTCCCTCTCTCTGCCTTTCAAATAAATCAAATGAATCTTTAAAAAAGGAAAGATTGTTGTTGGAATATGGGATAAGCACTGATTATTTTCTACTGTATAATGAGCTTGTTGTTACTGTATAAGAACATGGAATTATAAATAAATGCTGATTGCAGATACTGTTATTTTAACATTTAGGGGTAATGTTAATATTTGTTATTTTCTTATCCAGGGAGCAGATCCTAAGAGTAAAAGAAGATGAGAATGTTCCATTTCTGCTGGTTGGTAACAAATCAGATTTAGAAGATAAAAGGCAGGTTTCCGTAGAAGAGGCAAAGAACCGAGCGGACCAGTGGAATGTTAACTACGTGGAAACATCTGCTAAAACGCGGGCTAATGTTGACAAGGTAAATGTGACTCCCTTCACCACTACATCATGTTATAAATAGGTTGCTTTGCTGTACCTTGGCCCCATTTTGTCTGGAGAATCCCTGAGACTTCCAAGCAGAGATTTAATACATTTAATACATGTTACTTTTTATCATCCCAGAAAGCTCAAGTACAGCATGTGAGGAATTTCTTACTTCACCCTGTCTGTAGTTTCCCAAGAGCCATCAGAACATGAGACACTGCGGCTAAATTTTCTTTTTTTTTTTTTTTTAAACACTGACAGCATTCCTGAGCTGAATCTCTGCCTTTTTTTCTCATTCTAATGGGGCTGGGTAATTTAGGAAAAATTGTCTAAAGCCTTGAGAAGCCAGCACTGAATGTCCTCATCTCTGACTGATGCCTGCCCAGCCCCGTTTAAGTTGTCAAAAGTGAAGGTGCCGCCCAAGGTAAAGAAGCCCCCAGACAATAGGATTTTGAAATCTGTTATTACCACGGCACTCTGCACCCTCAGTCTTTGTATATCTCTGGTTGGAAAGGGAAATCCTCTGCCTGCCTGCCTTCCCACTTTGCTCAGTGGTCCTTCCCACTGTAGAGCATCCTCACTGGGCACTGAGGCAGCTCCCAAGAGCAGGTCATGCTGCTGCCCAAAGTGGCCTCCAGTAGAGAGAGGCCACCGGCTGAGGCAGCGCAAGGGCATCATGGCCTCCAGCGGGGGCCTCTCCAGACCCCACAGACTGTGGCTCTAGAGTTCCGCCTCTCAGACACCGATGTGCAAAAGACTGCCTGTAAAGGTTGATGAACGCGTCCTTAAGTCTTACCCTGAGAGTTGATTCATTTGGTCTGGAATGAGACCGGAGATTACATTCCTAGCCAGATCACAGATGATGCAGACAGTAGAGCAGTAGACCACACTGCCCTAGCTGGCCATAGTTTTAGTGGATTGATCTTGTCCCTATAGATCCCTGATCCAGGAGTGTCTGGTTTTCAAAAGTTTTTTTTTTTTTTCCCCTGTTCTTTTGCTGTTGGTCCTAAGGTAGGCATTGTGTCATAACTGATTAATTTTTTAATCACATGGTCAGATTCCTCTTGGTCCAAGGTGTCTGTACAAAGTGAGTACTGAGGATGTGAGGGCGATCTGACTGCGACATCTGTCACCCTGCTGATCACCAGGGTCGATTCGGCTGATCTGGCTGGCTAGGCGGGTGTCCCCTTCCTCCCTCACCGCTCCGTGTGCGTCCCTCCTGAAGCTGTGCACTCAGTCAAAGAAGACGACCTTCCCCACTAAAGGACTGGACTTGGGTCAAGGGTATACGAATAGCTGCGCTCCCCTACTGGAACCTCCAAACAAGCTCTCAAAATGAGTACTGAAAGATTTCTATTCAGTATACTGTACTAGTTTTCTCCAAGGTTAGATCAAATAGTTTTTAATGAAAATATATTTTAAAATTCAGTATGTTAGGGGTTTTAAAAGGCAACATTGAACATTATCAATGCATGTATATAGTTTCCTCTTTTTTTTTTTTTTTTTTTTTGACAGGCAGAGTGGACAGTGAGAGAGAGAGACAGAGAGAAAGGTCTTCCTTTGCCGTTGGTTCACCCTCCAATGGCCGCTGCAACTGGCACGCTGCAGCCGGCACATCGCGCTGATCTGAAGGCAGGAGCCAGGTGCTTCTCCTGGTCTCCCATGGGGTGCAGGGCCCAAGGACTTGGGCCATCCTCCACTGCACTCCCTGGCCACAGCAGAGAGCTGGCCTGGAAGAGGGGCAACCAGGACAGAATCCTGAGCCCCGACTGGGACTAGGACCTGGTGTGCCGGTGCCGCAAGGTGGAGGATTAGCCTAGTGAGCCACGGCACCGGCCTATAGTTTCCTCTTAATTGATGTCTTGAGCAGATTGTGGAATGAATGGAGAAGAGAGTCAAAGATTAACAGTCCAAGGAGTAAAGCTGGTCATCTGCTGGTGTCAGAGGCCCTGGGGAATATGCTGGTGTGCATTTCCAGAGCTCTTACAGGCCAGTAGGAAGAAGACCAGCAACCCAGTTGCCAGATAGGAGCAGGCACGTCACAGAGGGAGATGTAAATGGCTTTTAAATTGGAAAAAAGGTTCAGTCTCATAAAAAGGGAAATAGAATTTTTAAATGAAATGGCATACTTTTTTTTTGAACCTGGCACATTGGATAAAAGCAGAGGCTGTTAATATACCATTGACAAAAGTACAGAAAAACAGGAGCTTCTAATATGCTGGTGGGAGGACAATTTGGTGATCTGTCAAAATTAGGACATGACAGTTCAGGTTGTTAAAATGTATTACACAGAAAAAAATCATACAGATAAATGCATAATTTGGTGGTCCTCATGGAAGCAGTATTTGTAGAAACAAAAGACTAGAAATATGCAAGTGTTCAGTAATGAACTGGTTTAAGCTATGGTGCATCCATATAATGAATACTACCCAACCATGAGAAAGAAATGCAGATGAAAGCAAATGTGCAGATCTTAAATAGTCTTTTGGATTTCTGTATTGGAACTTCTCGTCATGTGCATGCATTGATTTTTTTTTTTTTTTTTTTCAGAAGAGAAGGAAAAGTATGGGCTGTTTTTGTTACCATGGCTGCAACAAAATACATCCGAACAACTTTCTGGGAAAAATAGACATTTATTCTGCTTGCAGATTCTTGTCCTCGCCAAGAATTTGGCCAGGACACAGTGGAGAGAGAGGGCTTGTCTCTGCTCCACACTGTCCGATGCCTCAGCTGAAAGGCTTCACGCCTGAGCACTTGGAAGTATCTAAACTTAGGTTCTGCAGGCTTGTTCACACATGTCTGGCTCAGCCGGTTGATGCTGGCTGTTGTCCAGGGATGCCTTAGTTCCTCTCCATGTAGGCTCCTCCATGTGGCTTTTCCACGTGTGCTAGTTTAGGCTTGCTCATAGTGTAGTGGCAGCATTCCAAAGGCAAGTGTGACAAGAGACTAAGAACTGGTGAAACCATCCTCCTTTTTCTTATTTTGAAAGATTTATTTATTTGGGAGGTAGAGTTACAGATAGAGAGAGGGAGAGACAGAGAAAGGTCTTCCATCCGCTGGTTCACTCCCTAGATGGCCACAATGGCTGGAGCTGAGCCGATCCAAAGCCAGGATCCAGGAACCCCCTCCAAATCTCCCACGTGGGTGCAGGGGCCCAAGCACTTGGACCATCCTCCACCACTCTCCTAGGCCACAAGAAGAGACCTGGATTGAAAGAGAAGCTGTCGGGACATGAACTGGTACCCATCTGGGATGCTGGTGCCACAGGCAGAGGCTAAGCCTGCTGTGCCACAGTGCTGGCCCCCCATCCCTCCTCTTCTGACTGGCCTCCTGGTATTGACTGAGGCAGTCGCAAAGTCCCACATGGATTCAGGAGGGAGGGAATAGACTCTGCCTCCTGCTAAAGCTTGAAGAGATGCTGGAAAAGCACCTAGGAAGTATTGTTGTAGCCAGTTTTAGAAGACAGGGTCTTCAATTTGTGGTCATATCCCCAAAACTGAATTAATTGCATTAAACAAGGCTACTTATAAATTCATACTGAAAACTACTGTTTCATGTATTGCTATAACCTGCAGAGTTGCCAAACCATAAAGCACTTCAGTGGCTAGAGTACCTTGCAACGACTCTAGAATTTCCAGAATCAGGTTGTATTTGGGAGTGGGGGTGGGGGTTGTTTTGCTAAGGAAATAATTCAGTATTCACTACCCACATGGCCATAATGGCCAGGGCTGAGCAAGCAAAAGCCAGGAGCTTCATCCAGTTCTCCCATGTGGTGGCAGGGGCCCAAGCGCTTGGGCCATCTTCTGCTGCTTTCCCCAGGCCATTTGAAGTGGAGCCGCCGGGACTCAAACATGGGATGCTGTTGTCATAGGTGGCAACTTTACCTGCTGTGCTACAGCTCCAGCCCCCAATAACTTTATTTTTATTTCTTGTAATATATTTTTTCTAAAAAAATATTTATTTATTTGAAAGGCAGAGTTAGAGGCAAAGGCAGAGGCAGATAGGGGGAGAGAGAGGTCTTCCATCTGGCTCACCCCCAAAATGGCCACAATGGCTGACACTGAGCCAGTCTGAAGCCAGGAGCTGCTGCTTTTTTTTATTTTTATTTTAAAGATTTATTTATTTATTTGAAAGAGTTACAGAGAGAGAGAGAGAGAAAGGTCTTCCATCCACTGGTTCACTCCCCAGTTGCCCACAATGGCCAGAGCTGCACTGATCCAAAGCCAGGAGCTTCCCACATGGGTGCAGGGGTCCAAGGACTTGGGCCATTTTCTGCTGCTTTCCCTGGCCGTAGCAGAGAGCTGGATCGGAAGTAGAGCAGCTGGGACTCGAAACAGCACCCATATGGGATCCTGGCACAGTGGGTAGGCACTTTTCCTACCATGCCACAGCACTGGCCCCATGTTATCTTGTTAAATTTTAATTCATGTGAGAAGAGGAGGGATTTCCTGAGGTCTCTTACCTAAAATTAGAAAAGCCAAATTTTGAACATACTGGATTGCCCTAAATTGAGAAAAGAGAAAGGGAGGGAGGAGAGATGTGATTTGGAAGAGTTAAAAGATGTTGGAAGAAACCTGTGCTTTGGGGATTATCATTTGTGTGAGTTCATCAAAACCAGTTCTTTATTCCTGGCCTTAGTTACTCATTTCCTTCCACTTGGCAGCTGAAACAGGACTTCCTTTAGCTCTAATTCATTAAATGAGTTGATGGAGACTTGCAAAGTTTCCCACTGTGTTGCTAGTTAAAATGACCTTGTTGTTTTCTAATAGAATTTTGGAAGTTTATTGCAGAGGCTCACCTAAAATTAGAAATTAAGCCTGCTGATAATATCCTTCTCGTAGTGCTCTACCTGCATGAGAAAGCACTGCTTGGGAGTGCTCTAATAATTACATCAAGTTAGCACAGAGAGGTCCTGCACCAGCTAGTCTCCTGTAAGCTTGAACAGAACCCTCCCAAAATCCATCTGTGGAAGTAGGGGTACAGCAGGCATGGATTTGATGCCATTGTGTTTCAATCTGTTGCTTTCTTTTGTGTCTATTTAATGCTGTGTTTCCTGTCTTTAACCATCCATGCCATTTTGTGTGTTTGAGCCCAGTAGTCTCTGATGGCTTTCTGGTCTCTGATTTAAATTTTACATTCTTGTTCCAGACCAGGGATCAGCCATTCACCTGAGGAACCCTGGTTCCGTGTATCTTTTACACTGAAAATCTTGGTTCCTCTATGTTGACAAAACAATTTATTTGCATTATCCTGCAATATATATAAAATAATCCCAAAAGAGCATTATCGCTGTCACTGACAAATAAGCTATAAAGTAAAGTTTAAGATTTGGATTTTTTGTTTTTTTATTTGTTGGAATTTTGTTTTTATTTTTATCTTTAGCATCTATTCTGAGGTAACCGTTCCATATGCTATGTTATAAAAACCCTTGGAATAATTCTTTCCTCTGCATTAGTTTGTCACCAACTTGGCATATAGTTAGTCTTACTTGCTTTAATTCAATTTTCAATTTTTATTGGTTACTTTATTTCATTTGAATGTGTAAAATATTTGTTTCCAAAGTAGAAATTATGTGACAAGGTCTGTTCAGAGACGTCCCACTGTTCCCTCTACCCTTTACCTTTCCTCCTAAAATTGAAAATAAAAGGGGTTATTATTGTTTGGTTTATAATTTCAATGTTTCTTTTTCTTTTAAAGATGTATTTTGTTTGTTTGAAAGGCAGAATGACACAGAGAGACAAGTGATGTGAGAGAGAGAGAAGTGGGGGGTATCTACCTGCTAGTTCACTCCAAATGACAGGAGCTGGATCAGGATGAAGCCAGGAACCTGAAACTCCATCTGGATCTCCCACATGGGCAGTGGGGGCTCAAGCACTTGGGCCATCATCAGCTGCTTTCCCAGGGGCATTAGCAAGGAACTGGATCGGAAATGGAACAGCCTGTACTCAAACCAGCACTCTGATGTGGGATGCCAGCCTTGTAGGTGATGGCTTAACCCACTATGTCACAACCCTGTTCCCCGTTTTTTCTTTTTTGTAAATGCAGGCTAACAGATATCCCTGTCCCCCACCACACACACACACACACACACATACAGGTAACTTTCCAGGTATACTGTTCTCACCTTGCCTTTTTCAGATAAAGTTGCCATTCATGAATTATAGGCATCTTAAGAAAGGCAAATTGTTCTTTATATACATTCATTTATTCACATACATTTATTATTTATATTTCTTGCTCATCTCACTTTTAGTCTTACTGCATTATATTTATACTGTAGTGAAAGCCAGAATGTAGAAATGTGGGAGGCTGGTGCTGTGGTGCAGTGAGTTAAAGCCCTGGCCTGCAACACTGGCATCCCATATGGGTGCCAGTTCAAGTCCTGGCTGCTTCACTTCCAATCCTACTCCCTCCTTATACTCCTGGGAAAGCAGCAGAGGATGGTTCAAGAGTTTGGGCCTCTGCACCCACATGGGAAACCCAGAAGAAGCTCCTGGCTCCTGGCTTTGGATTGGCTCATCTCCAACCACTGGAGCCATTTGGGGAGTGGACCAGCAGCTGGAAGACCTCTTTCTGTACATATCTCTACCTTTCTCTGTAACTCTTTCAGATAAATAAAATGCCTTTTAAAAAAAAAAGTGTGGACCCTAAGATTCATTTATTTATCCTACTCACATATTCATAATGTCTATGTATAATATGAGTCTGTATCCTTCCAGGCCCTCCTGAAATTTAACTTTTGAATTTTTATACTAGTGATTTCTTAGTTACTATGGTAATATTTCTTATTATTTGCTAATACCCAGACATCAAACAAAAATTGATACATTCTCAAATCTGATCTAACAAAGTTCTTTTCTCATATCTTATATCAATATGATAAAGTACCTGCTTTCCTTCCTCAGCTCCATTTTTAGAAAAGTTATTGAATATAATTGTTATTAAGTATGAATTATATTAATCAAATTACTATTAATAAAATCCATTTATTGATTATAGCATCCTTCAGTGTAATAATCAGTGGGTTTTATCACTAAAGATATCATTACTTGGTAGCACTTCTTTCATTTTTTTCTCCCTAGAAACCTTTTATTGAAGGAATACAGACTTCATGCTTTTTACAAATACAACTTTAAGAATATTGCAGTTCTTCCCACCATATCCTCCCCACCCACACTCCCACCCCTCTTCCTCTTCCATCTCCTATTCCCATTCTTATTTTTTACTAAGATCTATTTTCAATTGACTTTGTATAAAGTCATATTATTAACTCTATACAGAGTAAAGAGTTCAACAAATTGTATGGAAAAAAAAAATCTTCCTCAACTGTTGAGACAAGAGATGTTCAAAGTCATTGTATCTTGAAGTGTTAATTTCAATTCTATAGATTACCTTTCAGATACTCTGTTAATTATCACAGATCAGGGAGAACATATGGTATTTGTCCTTTTGGGACTGGCTTATTTCACTAAGTATGATGTTTTCCAGTTTTATCCATATTGTTGGAAACAACAGGATTTCTTTCTTTATGTTTTTACTGCTGTGTAGTATTCTATGCTGTACATATCCCATAATTTCTTTATCCAGTCTTCAGTTGCAAGGCATTTGGGTTGATTGCATATCTTAGTATTGTGAATTGAGCTGCAATAAACATGGGGGTACATATAACCCTTTCATATGCTGATTTCATTTTGTTTGGGTCAGTTTCCAGGAGTGGGATGGCTGGTACATATGGTAGGTTTATATTTAGATTTCTGAGGTATCTTCATGCTGCCTTCTACAGTGGCTGTACCAGTTCAAATTCCCACCAACAGTGGATTAGGGTATCCTTTTCCCCACATCCAGAATTTTTTGATTTCTGTATGAAAGCCATTCTTACTGGGGTGAGATAAAACTTCATTGTGGTTTTGATTTGCATTTGCCTGGTGGCTAGTGATCCTGAGCATTTTTTCATGTGTCTACTGGCCATTTGGATTTCTTCTTTTGAAAAATGCCTGTTTAAGTCCTTTGCCCATTTCTTAACTTCATTGTTTGTTTTGTTGAGTTTCTTGATTTCTTTATATATTCTGGTTATTAATCCTTCATCTGTTGCATAGCTTGCAAATAATTTCTCCCATTCTGTTGGTTGCCTCTTCACTTTTCTGAGTTTTTCTTTTGTAGTGCAGAAGCTTCTCAATTTGATGTAATCCTATTTGTTAATTTTGGCTTTGATTCCATGTGCCTCTGGGATCTTTTCCAAGAACTCTTTGCCTATGCCAATGTCTTGCAGGGTTTCCCCAATGTTCTCTAGTAATTTGAAGGTAAAAGGTCATAGGTCTTTAATCCATTTTGAGAGTATTTTTGTGTAAGGTGTAAGGTAGAGGTCTTGCTTCATATTTCTGCAAAGTGGAAATCCCAGCACCGTTTGTTGAAGAGAATGTCCTTGCTCCAAGGATTGGTTTTAGCTCCTTGGTCAAATATAAGTTGGTTGTAGATGCATGGATTGATTTCTGGTGTTTCTACTCTGTTACATTGGTCTATGCATCTGCTTTTATACCAATACCAGGCTGTTTTGATTATAATTACCATGTAGTATGTCTTGAAATCTAGTATTGTGATGCCTCTGGCTTTGGTTTTGTTGTATAAGATTGCTTTAGCTATTTGGGGTCTCCTTTGTTTCCATATAAATTTCAGCATTGTTTTTTCTATTTCTAAGAAGAATGTCCTTGGTATTTTGATTGGTATTGCAATGAATCTGTAAATTGCTTTTGGTAGTGTGGACATTTTGATATTGATTCTTCCAATCCATGAACATGGAAGATTTTTTCTTCTTTGTGTGTCTTCTTCTATTTCTTTCTTTAATGTTTTGTAATTCTCATTGTGGAGATCTTTGACATCCTCGGGTAAATGTATTCCAAGGTATTTGATTTTTTTTTTTTTTTTTTTTGTAGCTTTTGTGAATGGGATTGATCTTAGAGGTTCATTCCCAGCTGTGGCATTGTATGTGTATGCAAAGGGTGTTGATTTTTTGTGTGTTACCACTTTAGCAAACTCTTCTATGAATTCCACTAGTTTCTTAGTGAAGTTTCTTTATAAAATCATGTCATCTGCAAATAGGGATAGTTTGACTTCCTCCTTCCCAATTTGTATCTTTTTGATTTCTTTTTCTTGCCTGATGGCTCTGGCTAAAACTTCCAGGACTGTATTGAATAGTAGTGGTTAGAGCGGATATCCTTCTCTAGTTGCGGATCCCAGTGGGAATGCTTATAGCATTTCCCCATTCAATAAAAAGCTGGCCATAGGTTTGTCGTAAATTGCCTTGATTGTGTTGAAGAATATTCCTTCTGTACCCAGTTTGCTTAAAGTTTTCATCATGAAAGGATGTTGAATTTTATCAAATGCTTCTGTGCATGAGATAATCATATGGTTTTTGTTCTTCAGTTTGTTAATGTGATGTATCACATTGATTGATTTGCAAATGCTGAGCCATCCCTGCATACCAGGGATAAATCCCACTTGGTCCCAGTGGGTGATCTTTCTGATGTGTTGTTGGATTCATTTGGCTAGTATTTTGTTGATTTTTGCATCTATGTTAATTAGGGAAATTGGTCTGTAGTTCTTTTTCTCTATTATATCTTTTTCAGGTTTAGGAATTAAGGTGATGCTGACTTCATAGAAGGAGCTTGGGAGGATTCCCTCGCTTTCAGTTATTTTGAATAGCTGGAGAAGAATTGGAGTTAGTTCTTTAAATGTTGGTAGAATTTAGCAGTGAAGCCATCCAGTCCTGGGCTTTTCTTTGCTGGGATGGTCTTTATTACTGATTCAATTTCCATCTTGGTTATTGGTCTGTTTAGATTTTCTGTGTCTTCATGGCTCAGTTTAAGTAGGTTGTATATGTCCAGGAATCTATCCATATCTTCTAGGTTTCCCAGTTTGTTGGCATACAGCTCTTTGTAGTAATTTCTGATAATTCTTTTTATGTCTATAGTGTTTGTTACATTTCCTGTTTCATCTCTGATTTTATTGATTTGTGTCTTCTTTCTTTTTAGTTATTTGGGTCAGTGGTGTATCAGTTTTACTTGGTTTTTCAAAAAACTATTCATTTTGCTGATCTTTTGTATTGTTACATTGATTTAAATTTTGTTGATTTCTTCTCTAGTTTTAATTATTTCTTTTTTCCTACTAGCTTTGGGTTTGGTTTGTTCTTTTTTCTAGGTCCTTGAAATGCATTGATAGCTCACTTATTTGGTGCTTTTCCATTTTCTTGGTGCCATAAACTTTCTTCGACACTGTGTTTCTCTTGTACATATTTTAGAATCTTTTCTTTATGTTTTACTGTGGAGAGTTTGATTACAATGTGTTGTAGTGAAGGTCTTTTCTAGTCATGTCTATTAGGAGTTCTGTGTGCTTCTTGTACTTGTACGTCCCTTTCTTTATACAAATTAGGGAAGTTTTCAGTAATTATTTTTGCCAAAAAGGCTTTCTAATCCATTCTCTCTTTGCACACTTTCTGGAACTCCTGAAACTCCTATGTTGGGTCATTTGATACTATCCCCATAAATCTTCAACACTGTTTTTTAGTTTTCTTATTTCTTCTTCTTCTTCTTCTTTTTTTTTTTTTTTTTTTTTTTTTTTTTTTTTTTTTGGAAGATTTATTTATTTGAAAGGCAAAGTTACAGAGAGGCAGAGAGA